TTACGACTCATGGGGGTGAAGTTGGTTGATAAGAAAAAGATTCTGAGTTGGAAATATGATACTCATAAATTCTGAGACTGGATTGGATAAGAGAATCGGATTCTCAAAAAAGAGGCATGGCTCAGTTAGACCGAATGCTGCTACCTTTCCTGAGGGCAGCGAGGGTGAACTTGGATTGGATGAGAGTTTTGGATTCTCGAAACGGACACTCATAAATAAGAGATGGCAAGAGTTCCTTCCCCACTCTAATTTGGTTTTGGGTGGTTTTGTTGTTGTTGTGTTGGGGAGTTGGGGGGATTTTTTCTTTTTTCGTTCTAAATGGGATCCTTCACCATTATAATAAAGTTTTAAAAAAAATAAATACTTAGATATAATTTTAAAGATATATACATTATAAATACACATCAATAATATGTGCATATATATATATATATTATGATTTATGAATTAAAAGTATCATAATTTGTACGAAAAAAAGATGATTAGACTATTTTTAGTTTCTTTGAATTTTTTCATATTTTGTAAGTTGTTTATCAAAAATAAAATGATGCTTATAAGTTCATATTTGTTATTAAATATGGAGAAATGAATTCAAAATATCAAAATAAAGTTTATACTGATTTCATGTTAAATATTTAGCTAAAAATTTAAAAGAATATTTACAAAATTATTATTGATATTACATATGTAGATAAATAATGTCAAAATAAAAAAATAAAATTATAATTAGCCAATAGTAGCGGTAAAGGCACTAGTGGGAATGGGGGGCAAAGGAGAGAGAGGGAGAGCTGGGGGAAAGGGAAGTACGGGACGGGGCGAGGGTCAAGGAAAACTTTACAACATGGGCGTTCTATTACCATTCCTACTTATAATACCTGTTGGCGGAACCAAACAAAAAACCAATAATTCCAATTGGTCGCCCTCTTCCTACACTCTCGGGCTCAAGATTCCATTCTTTTTCATTGGCAAATTTTTGCATGATTTGCTTTCAGTGCAAAAAAGATTTAGTTTAAAATTTGTGCAAATTCTGTTTATTTCTTTAGGCGTATAAATATGTGAAAATTCTTGTTGTCTTATAAAAATATAGGATCCAATCTTATTAAAATTTTGTGAATCTTTGCAAGATTTTGGTGTTCGCATACGTTTATTAAAACATGAAATTTGTAATTTTAAAGTGATTGTAGAAATGCACAAACTAGAAATAAAATTGACAAATAAATTACTTTTTTCTATGAACTGACTTTGCTTGACTTGTGTGCGAGTAGAACTGTAAACGAATTGAGTTAAATTAGATATTTCATGTTTGAACTCTATTCATTAAACTACTCGAACAAGGTTTGTGTTCGATCGATAATTTTCGAATTTGAAATCTCCATTTGTGTTCGCCTCATTAATTAAAATACTAGTTTGAGTTCGAGCTCGGGTTCGCTTCGTTTAACACAAATGAGCCAATCTCAAATAGGCTCAAGAAGTTCAAATTCAAGTTCTTTCTCTCAAATAATCAATAGATTCAATGCTAAACGAACCACCTAATCCTAAATTTTATGAAATGATAATTAGGCCTAAATTCGTGAACGATCGTTTAAATTCGCAAACAAGACTAGTGTTCGTTCGATTACTTATCAAGTCAATATTTTTTTAAACTTGACTCCTATAAAAGTTTCAACAGGTCGTTATCGAACGCAAACAGCTTAAATAAGTTGAGCAATCGAACAGTTTGACTAGCATAATAGCGCTATGTGCGAGAGAGCGAGGATGGCAGTCCAATCGCTTAATAGCACTATGTACGTTTGTATGTATCATACGGATAAAAAACTGACCTAGTCTAGGCTTAATTCTGGAATAAAATATACTACAAATGGCATAAACGTACAAAACAACAAAAACTTGGATAAGCATGAATTCACAGCCTCTTCAGTTTGGTATGGAAAATTAGAGAATTAATTAATAGGATTGGAACACAAGTTAAGTTGTGCCGTGAAGAAAAATTGTGCACTGGTGTGCTGGCTAGGATGAATATTAGCTTGCAGCTTGAATTTATATGTTTGTTCTTCGATCCTCAAGATTCCTTGAAAATTTTGTTAAAAAAAATACGAATCTTATGGGTGCATTCTATATTGGAGATATAGCTTAGTATTCTTTTTTCCAAAATGCCACAAACAATTGTCCTCATTTTAACTCGGAATGCAGCATCATTTTCCCCTCTATTACTGAGAAAAAAAATTATCATAGAGATGCATGACTGTGTAAGCTTAGTTATGGACTAGGCTTATTCTGCAAATGGCAAATACGTTTGAGAGCATCAAATAGCTTGTATGAGCTTTTCTGTGTAGCTTGAGTATATCGACTGTTGCAACACTAAAGTAAAATTGGCAGAGAATGAATTGGTTATCGCTGCAATCTCCTCGTGTCAATCACCAAAGTACCCGCATGAGAATTCATTCTTCGAAATTATAGTTTTTTTTTCACTTTATAAGCTAAACTTTTATTCTCTACTTGTTGCGCCATTGAACTCCAGAAGTTCAGATCACAAGGTCCATACGTAATAATAATGGCTTCGGAAGTATGATTGCTAGGATCTTTAAGATATTCCCAAGTTTGATTGTGGACTAGAATTAGAGGAAATGTGTACATGGAAATCATGTCCAAGAATTTCACAGAAATAATTGAACAAGATTTTATGTTGTTTCCTTTTCTTTTTAATAAAAGGCATATCACAGGGCATATGCGGATGTATAATCCGGCCATCAACCATATTTGTACAATATGAAACTAAAATTTTGCACTCTTGGAGCCTGTATTCTAGTTCTTTTAACAGCTACAACGTCTAGAATAAGCAACTCTTGTCAGCAAATTGCTGGGTGAAAATTGGTTTCCAGACACATTTTGATGCCATCTGGAACATGGTTCAAAGACTCGACCGAGACAGAAATGACTCGACCGGGTTGTCACTGGAATGGGGTTTTTCGTTCCAATATCGAGACGAAATAACTCCGAAATAATGAATCGTCGCGAACTCAGCTGAATCACCCAGAAATCAGCCGAAATGACTTCGAGATGGATAGAAATGGTCGAGTCGCCCTGAGTCATCTCGAGTCAACTCAAATTTTTATTATTTTTACTAATTTTTAATTATTTTTGTTTATCATATTTTTTTACAATTTTTAGAATATTAAATGTTTCAAAAATTTGCATCTAGTTGAGACCGTGACTAATATGTCAAAACTGATGTGACACGGTTCGGACCACAACCGCAACTTTGAACCATGATCTAGAAGGGAAATCCAAAAAGAAAATGAACACACTGGAGGATGTTTGTGTGCAAGGGTTTAGCTATAGACGATCCTAAGTTCTTTCTCAACCCAATGATTTGTTGAAAGGAATTTGAAGGAAACAAATATGAGTGGCATTTATCAAGATTGCATTCTTGAGATCTAGGCTTATTTTTATATTTCTATTTCACTAACGTCGATACATAAGATTAATTTCATTGCTTGATTGTTTTTGGGCTGCAAACCACTACCGATTGCAAAGTCTATTGTTACCAGATTTAGAAGTTTTCATTATGATTGGAAAGTTGGTACATTATTTGTATATTGTTATAGGAATCCAATCCACCTTTCTGCTACGAAATAGAACTATAGGTTTACTGGTTGATTTCCGGATTAATACCTGCTAATTCACCAGTGAAATCATCGTCTGCTGGTTCAACCTTATTCTTGGGAGCTAAGAATCCGGGTGCGTTTTTCTGTTTAAGGTGCCTTTCAAATAATTGATCTTTGCCTCGCATGACATCTCTCCATGGTTCAGGTTCACTGGCCGGGTGGTCCAAGTCTGCCGATCCTCGAGAAGCATAGCCCCATGATTCACTGGCCTGCTTTTTGAACAGTTCATCGGTTTGGCGATCCAAGTCCCATGGTTCACTACCTGGCTTTTCGAATAAATCATCTCCGTCTCGAGTGACATAATCCCATGATTCAGGTTCACTGGCTGGGTGCTCCAAGTCTGCTGGTCCTGGAGGAACATAGCCCGATGGTTCACTGGCCTGATCTTTCAACAATTCATTAGTTTGGTGATCCGAGTCCCATGGTTCACTAACTGGCTTTTCTTCTAAATCATCTCCGTCTCGAGTGACATATCCCCATGGTTCGGGTTCACCGGCTGGCTTCTCAAGTAGTTCACTGGCTTGGTCATCATCATGTTTCCAGTCATCAACTGGTTGAATGCGGTTTTCAGTGAGGAGTGCTGATGGTGATATTCCTTCACTGGGATCTAAAAGGAGTCTACTATGAGCAGAACCAATACATAAAAATATTAGAAGCAGCATTCCCATGCTAGCAAGATCTCGTGAAGCCATAGAGTTGCCAAACTGAATTGCAATGACATATCTGTGAATCTTTAGCCTTTACATAAAGGGCACAATCAGAGAGTTGTTCAGTGGTTAGAGGGAACTGATTGCGTGACTCGATAAAAGCACGGGCTCAAAACTGCACCAGTAGTCCTGTTATTATGCAGTCATGCAATTTGTGTGGAAAGTTATCTACAAGCACAATGGCTGATATTACTGCCCACAAGATTTGAGATTAATGCCTTCCAATGAAATTATTTCCATTGCAACAGCATCAGGAGTGTGACACTAAGAATTTAAGAGGGAACCCTCTTACAAGGAACCAAATTCTTGCATCTCACAGGACATTAATTTATTTACTCACGGGTATTTACATGAAAAACTGCAAGTACCATCCAGCTAGTTAGTCATTGTGGGAGAGAACATACTAGCTTACACAAGTAAGCGAAGCATGCCTTAGAGAATGCTATCCAGGACAAAAGCAATGACACTTTGTGGTCTGAGACTTCTGTACATCAACTGCATCAGATAATTTTACAAACAAGCCTTCTTCCTAAACACTAAAATAAGAATGACCCTATGTCACTACAATTTGAAGACAGGAAACAAAGTAATGAAGGCTAACTAGCGCAGCAACAGAACAGAGCTCACCTTTCAGAACAAGAGCTTGAATATTTCTTTCAATGTTAGCTCTATTCTAACATAAGACAATTAAGGACAGGCCAATACACATACACTCTGCAGTCCCTAAACACTGAATAATTTTGTTGTATACTAAATGTTTAACACGTTTTGTAAAAGCTTACAGAAATTGGTTGAAATTGACTATAAAGCACCAACCTCTACGACCCAGTCACAGTTATGTTATGCGCATGTTTCAAGCATGCCAAAGCAACCAAACATCTAAAGTCTAAACCCACTATATTACTCCAAAAGAACAAGTAAATCATTTATTAAAACTAACCAATGGAAACATCCTGCAGTGCTCTTAAGCTTACAATAAAATCACGGAGAATTTGAAAAGCTACAATTAGATTTCTTGACCCTTGTCTGCACCTGACCCTGCACCGCCCAAAGCTTCAGCCATCATTTTCTCCCTGTTCTGTGCTTGCCTTTCTACGGCTACCATATAGAGGCCTATACAATTGAATAATCAAGAAACACGGATGACCAATTCAAAAGGATGGAAGAAAAAACACAATTGATAATTCGCAATAAGCAAATTTTTTTTGAGGTTCCGCACATAGCATGTGGTATATTCTTTATTGTCCAAGTACTCCCTCATGCTCATACCAATTTAATTCAAGTTTGACCTTCAAAACCGGGCTTAACCCATCAACTACAAATTTACAAGAAGTTCTGGTATACTTCAATCGTGCACAGACTAATGCCTTGTACTGCCAACTTCAAGACTTAAACTCATTTTTTTGCTTAACAATTATCTATGAAACTATAACATTTAATAAGCAGTAATGCATATGTTACTAGTTTGTTTTCCTCTTCTGCAACCTTTAGTCATGAGATCAACTTACTTACAGCTCATATTCATCTCCAAAGACTACACATATGATCTCAAAAGATGGTACATCAGTGTGTTTCTAAAACACGTACAACCGTAAGCCATCTAACCTATAACAACTGGTTATCACATTTAAATCAAATCTTAGGGATCATAGTATATCATCTACTATACCACCTTAAGTACATTGTTAGATGCACTAGATCTTTGTTCAGAAATTCTCAGGCAAACACAATAGGATAACAGGACCAGCATACCGATTGCACTTCCGATTGCACAGACCCAAAGAATCCTTGAAGACCATTTATCACCAACAACCCCTCTATTTCCGAATCCCATGTCTCCCTGCCAAAACTCTGTGTTTTTGAAATTAACCAGCAGAAGTGACCACTGAAAAAACAGAATACAAGGGAAACAGCTTAGACTAAACTTATGGTAAAATTATGCATGAATTAATTTTTTGCACTTAAAAATTTTAACAGTCGAAATCTACAACCCAAAGAGGTGTTATTTGAAAGTGAAAGTTATCAGTAATGGCAACAGTGATGAAGCTAAACACAATCAAAATCAGAGAGAAATAATGGGTTCAAGACCTTAAGAGTTATCTTTAGCAACACTTAACGCAAAAGTGTAACAATTAAAGACAGACTCAACCAGAAGTAAGCAGAATAAAATATTTTATCAAATGTTTCTAAGGACCACCATACAAGAGAAAAAGAGAAGGGGACAGATATCTTTGCCAGGTTATATACTGATAGCAATGCCTATTGGTTATTGCATGTTCTAGTTTATTATTAACTATGTTGACTAAAAACATGTATATTTTCTGCCTTCTCCTTTTAAGGTTGGTAAAATCATGTATACATTCCACCCTTGAAATTTGCAAAGTATAAAAAAGAAATTATGAGAAGCTGCCACCTCGCAACATCATGTAAACTTGGAACTGCAAAAGGAAATTCGCACAAGGAGATGAATAACATCAGAAGGATCAGCAAGGTGCTAAATATAGCAGATACAATATAAACACCAAGCAAAAAAGACCACATGCGGCAAGCAACAGATTTCCTGAACACAGTCACGGAAAGAATGAATACCAAAAACTTAAGCAAATCAAGAGGCTTGTCGAGAAAAAAGCAAGGCAGTTATTCAGCATTTTCAGCCAAACTGCTGTACATGAATGCTCTCAATAAAGATCACAGAAGCCTAAAAGAAACCATTTTCCTTAAATAGAAATCCATAATAAACAAATTAGTTTAGCATTCCTTACTTGAATCTATAATTGATCTACCAACATCTACAACCCTTGTAGTAAAGCTGCTGCCATGGCAGTTAAAATAAAGTAAATTAAATATTCTTGAAAGCTGTCATATCCCATTTTTCACCTATAGTAATCAAAATTGAAACTTACTTCAAGAAAGAACCCAAATAAAGTTTAAAAAAATGAGTAAGACGTTGAGTAATTCCTAATTCTCCAGCTCAACTGCAGTCTATCCTATGCACCAACAAAATCCAAAGGTCCACAAATATATAACAATGCTATCAAGTACAAAGGAACAACAAAACAAAGCCCAGATGAAAAAATATCAAGGAGAATATGGTGGAAGTCAGAGATTTCAGAAATTTTATCTTAAGGAAACTCACCAGAAACGGTGGAAGAAGACTGTCACTAAAAATTCCGGTGGATTTCTGGTGAGCTGTAACCGCCGGCGAACACTAGGAACTTATGGGTATATGTAGTGCGGTGTAAGTTGGGCTTGTTCACTGGACCTTCGACCCTTTTTCGTGTCATTTCTTTTCGCTGAAGTCCATCCCGAAGGACCCATCACCATGTTTTGGCCAAGTGCATTTGACTTCTTGGCAATGGCCCAATTAAAAAAGCTGTATAGCGTGCCATTGAAGCTCATTGAGATGTTCCATTTTGATACCAATATATATACACACACTATATGCTTCTTCTTTTTTTTTTTTACCCCAAATAAAATATTAAATGTCTTTTTGACCAAAATAATGTTTCTAAATTTTTTTTTCTTTAACATGCATCTTCACTTTTCCTCTAGATTATAAAGAATGCCATAGGGTCAAAACATTGTTAAGAAAGAAAAATACTTTGTCAAAAAAAGAAAGAAAGTGTTAATTAATGTTGAATTTGTTGTGATTAAGCCAGAAATAAATGAGAAGAAATATGAAGAGAATGTGAATATGAAGACTTTTTAGGGTTTTCTATTGTGAAGGAATAAATTAAATTGGGAAAAGGGGAATATCCCTTTTTTTCCTGTTATTCAATGTTAATCGAGCTGAGTTGAGCTCAAGCACCTAATAATTGAACTCGACTCTAACTACTAATCAAGCTAGCTTGAACTTGCTCGATTAGTAGTTCCAGTTCAAAAGACGTTTGAGATTGGCTTGTCAAACTCGACTTCAAACTCGAACTCGAGTTCCAAAATCGAGCCGAGCTTAACAACCTCGAGTGAGTTCGAGACTTGAGCTCGAACATCTAGAAATGTCTATCCTGTTAACAAAATTTTCAAGCAAATTCACAACTAAATCTATAGTTGAAATAGGTGCAGAAATCACAAATTCACATTACAACTTTTCTGCATTCAAAGTAGTCAATCTAAATACATTCAAGTAGTTCACAATTCAAGTAGTCCAAAAAAAAAAATCGAATAGCTTTTGTTTTGGATTATTTTTTAATTATCAGAGTGGATTTCGATTTACATAGTAGTGAAATTGGGAAGACAATTGAAGGATCTATTCGTTCATTCAGTAGGGAATTTTTATTGGGAAATTACCCTATTGGAGATACACTAGATTGTGAATCAAATAATTTCTTACCATGGTTGTAACTTGTGACATGATAGATCCACTGGATTGTGAATAAAATAATTTCTGACAATGGTAGCAGCTTAGTAGACTAATTTCACTTTGTACTCCTGGATGCACCTTTTTTTCCACTCCCGAATACCTTATTTCACTTTACATCTTAAATTTCATATTTAAGACACTCTACACCTTAAATTCGCAGATTTGTTTCACTTAAATCCAATTGACACAATATTAGTAAAATCGATGAATAGAAGACCATCCACATAATGCCTTTTTTTCTTTTTTGCATGATTGACAGAGATCATAAAATAATGGTAAGATACTACCACTTAGTAGATTGATTTGAGGCATATGTTGTTCGCACGGTCTTCTATCTTGTTAGTTTGCTAACACTATTATTGATCGGACATATTTTGAACAAACCTGAAAAGTTAAGTGTAAAGTTATCAAAATTGAAATTTAAAGTATAAGGTGAGAATGTGGCACAAGTTGAAGGTACAAATTCAAATTATTTCTAACATGTATACAGCATAGTGATGATTTTGCTGTAATTTTCATAGGGTCGATCTTTCAGTGTTAAACCAAATTGTAAATGTTGCCATTACATGCACTAGATAGTGAAACCCCCCCCCCCTCTTTTTTTCTTTAGAGGATACCAAACTCATCTCCTTCAACATGTTGTAATGGCATAGCGAAAAAAAAAAATCAGAACTTACAGTAAATGGTTACAAAGACAGAGAGCCCAGAAGCTCAGTAATACTAGCTACAATTAACAAGAAGTAGCCTATGCTAAAAGCCTGTGTGCTATACACTATTTACGAAGGTAGAATGGGGAATTCCCACTCATGAGCCAAAGTCCAATTTTCTTTGTTGGGAAAATGCTCTTTTCATCCCCATTGTTTGGGGTGTTGGACAATTTCGTCCCTAAAGGTTTAGCCAAAACACATTTCATCCTCACAATTTTATAGTTTTGACCAATTTTATCCCTAAAATTTCATGCAAACACATTTCATCCTCATAGTTTCATAAATTTGATTAATCAAAGACAATTGATGGATTGTCAAGCAATTTGAATGGAATATCATCACTTGATCATAGCATACCCGTTAGTAAAATACAAAAAACATTGGATCAACAAAAATCATTTTTTTTAATTCACTTCTTATTTTTCAAAAAAAAAAAACAAAGAAATTTTCAGCCACCATTACCTTCGTCTTAATCACAAATTGAACAAAAAAATCGAGAGGAAACGAAGCCAAGGAGAAGATACAACCCCATTAGAGCCAATTGGAGAAAAGTTTCAAACAATTCCATTGGAACCAACTGGAAAAAATACTAACGTGAAAGAAAGAATTGTTTAGATTGTTATTTATTTGCAAAATTTTGATTGAAAAGGGCATTAAAGATGAAGATAATATTATTTTACACAGCAAAAAATAAATTCGATGTAATGTGACAACAGCAGTCACAATGGCCAGCCATAGCTGTAACTACGTTGCAAGAGTAATGTAGCCATCTAAGGCAACTAGAAATGACAAAGAACTAGTACCCTAAGTCCCACGATCCAGAGCTTCAGCAGTTTCGCATTTGTACTGACATGAAGTTGAATATTTCTAGATATTATAGGAGTGCTGACCTGTTCAATCTACTTTAAAATAATATAAAAAACTTACATCCATCAAGTTCACTACTTATCAAAGAAAAGAAACCCCCATCCTCTGCCACACAAAAACCACAGTCTCAAAACTCACAAGTCAAAGAAGTTCAATTCCACCATTCATAATGTGGCTACTGCAGAACAATCTCAAACCATAATGTGAATGCATAAGTCAAAAGATTAAATATTACCCCAATAACATTGGAAAATTCTGCCCCAAAAACTCATCTTTTACAGCCTAGCTTAAGAGATTCATGCATTGTCGCATCGGCTTCTGAAACTACTTCAAACCCAAAGAATTCTCACAAAAAAAAAAGCTGTAAGCACAAACAAATAAATAAGAAATACTGAATTCAAAAGCCTAAAGCACTAACTCATTAACACTTCCAAAAGAAAATTCCATAAATTGAACCAAACTATTTTCATCCTCAGCAAATTCAAGAAAAAGAAACCTGCTTCTTCAACCCTATGCTTTCTCAAGCTTTTATCTTTTATCTTTTTCTCGACTAATTTCTAGCTAATTAACAAGGTTTAGGTCAAACTTCCGCAACTAAAAGAAGTTCTCTATCCAATTCAACTAAAATTACAGCAATTAAGCACAATTCACACCAAAAAGGAAAAGAAAGAAAAAAACCCTAATTTCAGAAAGTACTCCAAAAACGTATTGCTTATATGTAGACAGGTTAGGATAAAGCTTACGTCTTTGGGAGGGGATAGCACGAAGAGAAAGTCGAAGAGATTGAAAGCGGCGGCGGCAGTGGCGGCGGCGACGGCTGCTGCTGGTGGTGCGAGAAAGAAACAGAGTACAGTTGGGGGGTTTTGTTCGTTAATTGGTGTAATCTGATGTGAGTGAGAAGAGAGACAGTACTAGTGTGTGAGTGCGTGAAAAGAATCCAACGATAAATACTTTGACTGAGTAAGTCGTCGTCGTCTGGCTAAAGTGGGATTTCCCCTTTTTTGGGAATTTTGATTTGACCGATTAACCCAAAAAGAAAAACAGAAAAAAGAAATACGTGATAGATACACTGGATTGTGAATTAAATAATTTCTTACAATGGTGGTAACATGATAGACTAATTAACATATATAGTAAATGTGTGAATGCAATTGTCCAAATTGAACCCAATTGCTGATGTGGCGCTCTTTCATTGGTTGATTGGTGGTAGTTCTCCAATTGATTCCTTAACATATATAGTAAATGTGTGAATGCAATTGTCCAAATTGAACCCAATTGCTGATGTGGCGCTCTTCCATTGGTTGATTGGTGATAGTCCTCCAATTGATTCCAATTTGATAAGTTGTCATCCTCTGATTCGCTGATTGGTGGTAGTCCTCCCAATTGCATATGAAGATGGTGATGTGGCGAGTTTTGATTGGATGAAAAGTGATAGTCCTCTAATTGCATGTAGGATTGTGCTAAAATTTTGCTTCTTTCTTTTTTATCCAACAAATCACATTAACAAAAATTTTGGATTCCTTTTTTTTTGTTGTCCATCAAATCACATCTAATTACCAATTTTTTGCAATTAATTGTTAATAACTAATTTAATGTCCTGTTTTTTGTCATTTAACATATCACGTTTAATTAACAATTTTTTTGCAATTAGTAGCAAAAAATTGACTTCTTTTTTGTGGTTGCCCAAAAAACCACCTTTAATTATCAAAATTTTTTTCTGGCTGTCCAACAAATCACATCTAATTACCAAATTTTTGCAATTAATTGTTAATAACTAATTAATAATGTCAAGTTTTTGGTCACCCAACAAATCATGTTTAATAACAGTTGTTTGGAATTATTAAAAAATTGGCTTCTTTTTTTGTGGTTGCACAAAAAATGCGTTTTATTATAAATTTTTTTTCAAATGTCATAAAAAATGTCCTCTTTTATTTTGGGTTGTACAACAAATTATATTTAATTATCAATTTTTTGCAATTAATTGTTAATTAATTAATTAATTAGCAATTTCACTTTCTATTGCCTAATAAATAACATTTAATTGCTAGCTTTTTGCAATTATTAACACTTTTTTTCTGTTGCTAAATGAACCACATCTAATTACCAACTTTTGCAATCAATTGATAATTTTTTTTTTGGAAGTGAATTGTCACTTTTTATTGCCTAGCAAATAACATTTAATTACTAGCTTTTTGCAATTATTACCACTTTTTTTGGTTGCCAAATAAATCCCAATTATTTGTCAACTTTTTTGCGATTAATTGTTGATCTACTTATTACCTTTGGAAGTCTTTTATATTGAAGAACTTTTTACCTTTGGAACTTTTTTTTGCATATGGTTTGAGGATTTATGGGTTTTTTGCCCTTTTTACTTTTGATCAATCAAACGGCATCGTATGCTGATGGATCTTCAATCCTTTTTCTCCCGCTTTTCTCTCTCTCTCAGTCAAACGCACAACTATCAGTCAGGGTCAAGAACTCTTGAAGACCGATCCGTATTACTGTTATCCTCCAGACAAAATTCCATCTTCGTGAGACCCATAGTTCTCCCCTGAATTTCTGGCATTTGATTGTACTTGAAACAGGTTGTAATCTCAATTGGGGTCCAAATTTTTTTTCTTCTGACAGAGTTGATGGACGATGGGCTCAAGAATGCAAAGCGACTGGTAATCTTCCTCTCCTCCCTTTGTCGATTTCTCCCTCCTGTTCTCCTTCATCTCCCTCTCTCCATACCTCAAGTAATTATAGCTGATTTTTTCTATTTCTCTGCCATTTTGCCTGATATTTCCTTGGCTAAAAACAATCAATTCTTCCCCCTTCTTTTTTTTTTTATCCTTTTCTGAAACAACGAGGAAGTGAAAGGTTAATATTTCATCTCCACTGTCTATATGAATTTGTAGAATACAGATATGGTATTTTTCTTCACCTTTCTTTCCATGATTAACGTCTTTGTTTCGTTTCAGTTTTATCATTAAATTTTTATTTTTAGTTTCAACAAAAACCTTTTAATATGGTCGGAGATGGTGAATAATTGATGATTAGCTGGCTTGTAGATATTTATTTACTTTATTTTTTGTACCTACTTGGTGTTTTATTGTTCCATTTTTCTTTCCGTTTTTGCCTTTCTTGGATTTCTTCTGCAACAGGGAGGAAAATTGGCCACCCGTGAAAGACAACTGCTGAGGGGAAAAACGTAAGCTTTGTCCTATCATTCTAATTTAATTTTTACTTTAAATTGCTCTTTTCAGAGCTCAAATGATGGTATACTTTTCTTTGGCCTTTGGTCTTTTCAAACCTCGTTTGAGTTTTCTTTTTAGTCATTTTTTTGGTGTCTTTCGTGCAGGTGTTTTGTTGATCTCTTGCTCAGAAAAGAAATCCATATGGTAACAAAAAAGATTCACTTGTTTAAAATAGATTTCTTCATCTTCAAAATGTCTTTCTATTTGCTCCAGTTCTTCCGATTCCTTTTTCTTCATTGGGTTTTCAACATTTGAAGAATGAATAAATTTCTTCTCTGAGAATCAGGAACTTCCAGGTCACATTGGTCATTGGCCAAAACTTTGAGTTACAAAAGATCGTGTGATGCTATTCTTTTGATTGCTTTGTGTTGAAATTTTTTGTTTTAGTACATAAATTGTCTCTTGGTAAAACCTCTTGAATATTCGTTTTATGAACCTTAAGTGGATATTAAACTGAGTATCTTGAGCAATATATTTTTTTGTTACAATGGCAATCTAAATGGTTTTCCTATTTGTAGGTGGTTAAAGGTTTGTCCAAGACGAGGATTCTCAAATATTATATTCTAAGCACCTGCTTGAAATAATAAGTTACGGTTTTAATAAAAACACCTTAAATTTTCTATTCCTTGATCAAAAAAAGAATTAAATTGCTACATAATTGTAGTTTTGCCTCTTGAATCATGGACTACGATGTTTAATAGCTTGGAAATTCTTATTAGGAAAATCAGTTTTGGTTGACTTAAGTCTATATTTACAAAACATTATTTTCTCTTAGATTTGTAACATTTCAGTAAGATTAAGTCTGGAAAACTGAACCTTATGATAGTTTTTTTACTTGTAAAAATGAACTTAATTGAGATAAGCCTAAACAGAAAATTTTGTGACAAACATGAAGACGGTATTCCAATTGATAGGTTCAAAAAGGTGAATGTGATGCAGACCTTCAATTTATGTTGAAGTTTTTTATGCAGGAAAGAACTTAAAGGAAGGGCATGTTACTTTTGAAGAAAATTTGGTAGAACTCCTAATTTGTTTTAACTGGATGGATAATTTGTACTAAATATAACACATTTAGATGTTCAAATATAAGGACAAGATGCCTCTACTTTGAGATAAATGGCATACAATTCTTCCTAGAATTTGAGAATACAATCACTTCTTTGACACATCCAACTATTTTTGGAGAGGTGTTTTGGAGTCATCTTACCTCAGATTTTTTATGAGAAAAATTGACAGAAAGACCTCAGAGCCATCTCTTTCCTATCTTTTGTGTAAAAAAAAAATTTCTCCCATCTCCTTTCTGTGCAAAAAGTTATTGTTTTCCTCTTTGCTGGCGAGTTAAAGTACTGGGAGTTACAAAACCAGAGGCCTTCCCTCAAATTCCTGTATCTGCAATAGAGGAGTTTGGCTCAATGCTAGCAAGACTAATCAATTCCCATCAAATAATTTTCCATATCTCAATCCTCTCCAACTCAAAGTTTCTATTTGAAAAGTCCATTCTGTTCTTATCTTCCTTTCTTTCTCTCTGAAAACTGCTGGCTTCTCCACTCTTGTTCTATGTATACTTTTTTCTCTTGATTAAATTTTATTTTATTCTCTAATGAGTTTTATATGTTTGCTACGGGTTGAGGAATAGGGATTTGATACCAAGTATGAATGATTGGAATTTCTTTGCTCAAGTAAATACTTTTAGGATCTCTGTTTTTCTATTTTTTTTTTCTTTCGTTTTACCCGAAGTCAATTGTAATCTTCTCCTATCTTTACTCCTCTTTGATAGATGTTCAAGAAATGGACTATGGAGAGGACAGTCTACCTCTTATTGAAGTATTTCCTAAAATTCCAGTGTAAGTCATGATTAAGAGGTTGTCAAGTCTTTTTAAGCAACTACATTCAGTAATTATCCTTACTGAAGATCCAATATTTTATGCTTTCACTTTTTTGCATTGAAACTTGTGATTATTTCCTTAGATGAAATGGTTTAATTTCTTTCTTTTTTTTCATGTTCATAGAAATTTTTGTTTTCCAGTTGATATTGCCAATAACTCTTTATAAGTAAAAAATTCAAAGTAAGAGGGTGTGGATTGACTGTTTCTGTTAAACTCTCTTAGTTAGTTGGTAATGATTTTGTCATTTTTTTTCTTTTTGCAGCCAACTAATGCGCTTTTTGGACAACTTTTTATAGCTCAGGTGAGTGGAATTTCATCTTGGGGCCTTTTTTCCTTGGATTTGGATCAAAATTGTTTGATTAACGACTAGAATGTCATGTTTGCTTTGCTAAGCATGCTATCTACATAATTTATTCAATGCTTAGGGTTAAATTCTAGGTTGTTAATGGTTGAAGTAGTTAAATTTCAAACCATGTAAGGTTTGTGAACCATTAAATGAAAATATTGAATTCTTGAAAGGGCTGTGAAATCAAAAGGGTCTTACTCAGAAAGGAGAGGAAAACTTGTGATATTAATCTACATATCATCTTGCTTCATGTAACTATAGACTTTTATTTTAATGTAAAAAAAAGCAAGGAAAAAATGGTGGGTTATATATTTCATTTACAACTGTTAATAATGTTGAAGAATATGGAGAATAAGTTCAATAATTTTCTCTGAATCATTCTCATGTTATTACCATGAGGTTGTTTTAATTATATTCTTCATTTGGCGGACGCTTGTTTACACTAAATTTTTGTTAGATGAAGGAAGAACGAAATAAGGAGGCTACTTTTCTTATTTCAGCCTTCAAGGTATGTGCAGGAGTTATTGTTTCAGTGTTTTTGTTCTCTCTTTGCTTTCTTTTTTTTTTCAAATTTATTTAGCAGTTTATTCTTTGCACAACTATTGATGGATTTTGGGTAAGTCATTGGAGGCTGTTTATGGATTTCAAGGTGAAGAAGTGGATAAAGAATCTAAACTGACACCTTATGGTGAAAAAATTAGTCGAGGTATGTGGTGATGGAAATATCACAATTAGCCTGGCACTATTGTCTTTGAGCTACTGGAAGATGATCAATGTGGTTCTTTACAAACTAAAATTGAAGGATATAGCAGTCCAGATGCCAAGTCAAACCCTTTACAAGACCCTCGGACTAGCTTTGGATTCGGAACGCAAGTCATGGTTTTCTTTTGAATTGATGTAGTTCAGAATTTGAGTTAAATAGGTACTTATTTACCTTATGCTATCCTCGGTTACTTGTTACTTTTTCTAAAGAAACTTAACTGATACAAATTCCCCAATTTATTCGACCAAAAAAATTTTTGCTTTTGTTTTTAATTGGACCTATAATACAAATTTCCGAATTTAATCGAGATCTAAGAATTGTTACATTGCAACCCTGTTTCTATTTCAAAAAGGCATATTTGTGGAAGCCTTATGGAATTGTATTAATAGTTTCTGCATTAAAAGCTTTCAGTTGATCTTGACTTTACTGATTGGTCCAAGATTGCATGTAATGATCTTATGCCTTTTCTTAATGAAGATGATGTAATCCATGGGAACTTCAACTTGCTATTTCATTGATAGTTTAAATAGTTCATATCAAATTGGTCGGTGGCTTACATTTTTTCTTGGTTTTAAGTATTCCTGTTAGCTTGATTTTTTCTTGAATTCCAAGTCATTCTGTCCACTCATTGCCTTTCTATCAAATGATGGAAACCACATGGATGACTTGATTGCGCTTGTTTCCAAATAATGTATAGGTATTACTGTCATTCTTGATGAATAGCAAGTTTTCGCCTAAATTCAACGTCTCTTGGTTGAGGACTGCATGTGCTGAACCCTCTTAGGATCATTTGCTTTCATCCCTCAAATTTCTAAATCCCTTTGCATTTCCTTCACTCGTTGTTTTTTGAATAATCACTTGTTGCTATCAATCATATAGTGCTTACTGAATTTGCTTTTGAAATTTTGGGAAGAAAAGTGAGAAAGTTGATGAACTGCTTGAGTTGGCTGGCTACTACAAGACTTTTCTCATGAATTCTTATCAAGAAGCAAGGTATGGTTTTGCAACCACAAACAGTGTGGATATGAACTATTTTACTATTTGCTATCATTTATCTTTCCCTGGTATAGTGATCAATAATTGTGAGATCGATTGGCCTCTTTACTTAATCAATAATTTCTTTTTCATATTTGTTTCCCATGGAAATGTTAGTTCTTTCATTTTTATTTCTCAAATTTCAATATTTTTGGCTTCAAAACTTATCACATATTTCGTTCCTATTTTTACATGGTGTCATTCTTAATTTTGTCTAATGTGTAAAGTTTTGGTTTCAGCATACAAGAGCTTAATTTACAGTTGATTTTGACACATACAAGGCCATGGCAATAAAGAACGTCATCACCATTGCATGTGCATATCAAGCATAGCTACCAGCAAATTGCATATTTTATAGCGGAGAAAGTAGTTTTTATTTGCTTCTTGCTGGGCCAATTCTAACTCAATTTATACTGTAATATTATATTCCTTTTAGTTCCATCAGAGTAGTTCATTTATGACTCTGTCTAGATTATATCTTTAATGATACATAAAATTCATATGGCTTAAACATAAAATTGCATTACCTCTTGTGCAGGATAAAAACATGGCAGTAGGAGATTATTCGAATAAGCTCTAGGAAGAGGAAGACAAATAAACTCTTGAACGATATTCGGCATTGTAAAGAGATTGAGAAATGCAAGCTTGAGCCATAGTTAGTAAACACTTAGTATCCAATCATGCATACAACTTATAATAATTTATAGAAGTTTTTTTTTAACTATGTTCTTGATTAATATAGTTGGCCTTGATTCAACATATTTGGCCAATATAGTTTTATAACTTATTTTAGTCATTACTCCTAATTATGGATTATCTATTTTGTTTTAAAAAAAACTATTATAATGGGCTTTACACTGGGCATACTACCTATTAATTTCACACCGCGCATTCGCGCGGTGATCCCCTCCTAGTTTTACTTTATACTCTGAATGCACCTTTTTTTCCCGCTCCCGAAGACCTTATTTCACTTTTCATCTTAAATTTCATATTTAAGATACTCTACACCTTAAATTCACATATTTGTTTCACTTAAATCCAATTGACAACACTATTAGTAGAATCGATGAACAGAAGACCATCCCCGTAATGCTTTTTTTTTTCTTTTTTGCATGACTGACAGGGATCATAAAATAATGGTAACATACTACCACTTAGTAGCTAGATTGGTTGAGACATATATTGCTTGCACGGTCTTTTATCCTATTAGTTTGCTAACTCTGTTATTGATCTGACAAATTTTGAACAAATCTGAAAAGCTAAGTGTAAAATATTCAAAATTAAAGTTTAAAATATAAAGTGAGAATGCGGAACTAGTTAAAAGGTACAAATTCAAATTAATTCTAATGTGTATATAGCGCAGTGATGATTTTGCTGTAATATTCTTAGGATCGATCTTTCGGTGTTAAACCAAATGGTAAATGTTGCCATTACATCATTTACATGCACTAGATAGTGAATCTTCCTCTCCACAAACTCATCTCCTTCAACATGTTGTAATTAAGAAATTGTAAAGGCATAGCCAAAAAACATCAGAACTTACAGTAAAATGGTTACAAAGACAAAGAGAGCCCAAAAGCTCAATAATACTAGCTACAATTAACAAGTAGTAGCCTATGCTAAAAACATGTGTGCTATACACTATTTACAAAAGGTAGAAGGAAGAAATTCCCACTCAAGAGCCAAAGTCCAATTTTCTTTGCTTCTGGGAACTGCAGTCCAAGAAATTACATTATAATTCACCTCAGCTACAAGAAGCTCCACTGCTCTTCGAGACAACACCTGTGCAGATTTGGACTCAACTTCATTACCAACATCCAAATATGATACACCGTAACAGCAAGTGTAACTCTCTTCATTGTCTTTCCACTAAAAAAATTCTGGATTATATGGTGACAAGGCCAATCCAGCTCCTCAGTCCAACACAAGGTGATGTATATATGAGACACAATTCCACAATCTTGCTCCATATGGCTGAAGAGATGACCACCAAACTGAATCAGATATAGCAACACTAGGCAAGAAGTTTACAGCAGAGATAAATAGATTAAACTCAGCAGTATGCCTCCTAAGATCCTACCCACTGGCCACTTCCACTGACCATCACAAATAAAAACTAGCTACCTTAACTTGCTTACAACTACTCAAATGCCTCACAGTTCTATGAGAGAAGCAATCCAACAGAGGCCCCACAGGGATGCCAGTTATCGGATCATAGAAAAGTGTTCAAACCATTCCCCATCTTAGCTTTGATATACAGCAAAGCCAAAGGTCTTAAATGCAGCAGTTTCCTCCAAGAAATAGGTTTTTTTTTTTAAAAGATTAACAACATTGGCCATCAGAATATATTTTCATCTTCATGCTAACCACACACATTTTTGGTTCTTTTTTATTTTAGATATTCTCTCTGTAGTCTAAAATTGAAGATCCAGGGAATATATTTGTTCAACAATTTAATACTATTGTTTTAATTCTAGGATTGCCTGGATAAAATATCCACTCCATACTCGTCTATGCAATTAACTAAGGCGAATTCCTTTCAGGTTCAACGCTTGCAATAAAATATGGTATATTACTCGTAGAGTAGCAGTATCGCTAACGTTCTTTCCATGCTAGAATCCAATACTTTTTCACATGCTTTGATCAAGTTAACTTGAGAAGACGCGAAAATATTAACAAAACTTGAAGCACAGGTAAATCTTCCATCAAAAGGAAACAATTAGCCTTTAGATCAAACTAAAATTAATATGGCATCTTTAGTCGAACCTATAACGCTCAAAAAGTTTATAGAAATTTACTTTCACGAATGAGTGTTCAAAGTGATGCTTCAAACCACTAATGTGTGGAACCAACTCCTTTAGGCCACCATATTAACTGTGGGGTGGGAGGTCAAGGGTTCAAACTTTGCCTCTCATCAATGTGCCTCTATATGAGGATTGTTCTAAATCTATACGGATGGGTGGTGCACCCGTCTGATCTAATGGAGGTTCAGTTCCCATCAAATTCCCTCCAACTCAATTGGACCACTCCATAGAGTAGGTTCCCATAGAATAGGTTCCCCTCTTAGGAGTAAGAGTAGGTTAGGCTAAACTAGATGTGCCGTTCCGCAAAAAAAAAAAAAAAAAAAAAAAAAAAAAAAAAAAACTAATGCGTGGAGCGTCTATAGAGAATTTGATCACCAAGTAAGTAGTTCCTCCAATGTTATGTCCAAGTTAGTGGACATGGGAAGGGATGAAGAAGATTAAAGATACAATCAAATATCTGTGGATCCCATTGATTCAATAATGAATAATCAAAAAAAGATATATTAATTAATCAAAGGTCCAACTGATCACCACGCCTGTATTGTAAATATGCAGATACGAATAATCTAGCCAAAGTATAGGGATTAAACCTAACACAATTCCAAATAGAAAAACTTCAATCATTTCAATTTATTTGAAAGAAAAAATCTTGTTCCGTTTTTAAGTAAAAGGTTTCATGAGTTTAACGAGCATGTTGATAGAGATGAAATTGAAAGAGTTAATCTATTTGTCTATATGTTACTCTCGGTAACATATCCAGTGGAGACGAGGTGGGGCCTGTAGCTCAGAGGATTAGAGCACGTGGCTACGAACCACGGTGTCTGGGGTTCGAATCCCTTCTCGCCCACAACCGGTCCAAGGGGGAAGTACCCTTCCCTCTGGGGGGTAGAATGGTGGGGATAGCGAACCAAAAGCTATGGAACTTGGGTGTCGGTCTTTTGTCGAAATGGAATGGCTTTTCTTTTTATTTTGTGAATGGTGGAATCATTACACATAGTATGCCCCAACCCCATCAACCTATTTTTTGTTTTACGCTCCGTAAATCTTCCTCAGCTAGGCTTGGCTTGGGCAGAATAGCAGAGCAAGTACAAGTATAAGTAGCAGAACAAAAAAGCCTTCTTATATCTCGCGACAATTGTGACCTCTCGAGAGAATCGATGACTGCATCAAAGATGCACTATTAGTACTAGTACATCTTAGAATTCTTAATTGTCTAGTTGTAAATAGCTCCAGGGCTATGGAACAAAGGATTATCCTGGATCTACACCGAGGTATTAATAGTGATTTTCAAATCTCGCAGAATGTGATACGATGAGATAGAATGCAAAGACAAGGAACGGGTTACCTACTCTTAATGGACAAAGCGAGCCCCTTTATTCTAAATTAAAGAATTCAAAATAAATCAAATCTCCCCAAGTAGGATTCGAACTTACGACCAATCGGTTAATAGTCGACCGCTCTACCACTGAGCTACTGAGGAACAATGGGAGATTAGATCTCATAGAGTTCAATTCCTGTTCTCAACCCATGACCAATATGAGCTAAAAGCTTCCTTCGTAACCCCAGAACTTCTTCGTAGTGGCTCCCTTCCATGCCTCATTTCAGAGGGAAATTCAAAGTGGCTCTATTTTATTATATTCCATCCATACTCCAATTCCATTCATCTAATATCCCTTTGGTGTCATTGACATAACATATGTCGTTTCTAGTCCATATTTCTTGTCTATATATGGAAAGTTAAAAAATCATCATATAATAACCCAAAAATTGCAATAGAAAAGAAATAAGGGAGGTTTGTGATGATTTTTCAATCTTTTCTACCAAGTAATCTAGTTTCCTTATGCATGAAGATAATCAATTCGGTCGTTATGGTCAGACTCTATTATGGATTTTTGACCACATTCTCCATAGGGCCCTCTTATCTCTTCCTTCTCCGAGCTCGGGTTATGGAAGAAGGAACCGAGAAGAAGGTATCAGCAACAACTGGTTTTATTACGGGATAGCTCATGATGTTCATATCGATCTATTATGCGCCTCTGCATCTAACATTGGGTAAACCTCATACAATAACTGTTCTAGCTCTATCATATCTTTTGTTTCATTTCTTCTAGAACAATCACAAACACTTTTTTGATTATGGATCTACTACCTGAAATTTAATGCGCAATCTCAGCATTCAATGTGTATTCCTGAATATTTCAATTATTCAACTATTTCATTTTACCAAGTTCAATGTTAGCCAGAATAGTCAACATTTATATATTTCGATGCAACAACAAGATGTTATTTGTAACAAGTAGTTTTGTTGGTTGGTTAATTGGTCACATTTTATTCATGAAATGGCTTGGATTAGTATTAGTTTGGATACGGCAAAATCATTCTATTAGATCGAATAAGTACATTCGATCTAATAAGTACCTTGTGTCAGAATTGAGAATTTTTATGGCTCGAATCTTTAGTATTCTCTTATTTATTACATGTGTCTACTATTTAGGCAGAATACCATCCCCCATTCTTACTAAGAAACTGAAAGAAATCTCAAAAACGGAAGAAGGGGTGGAAAGTGAGGAAGAAGGGGATGTAGAAATAGAAACAACTTCCAAAATGTAGAGGACTAAACAGGAACAAGAGGGATCCACCGAAGAAGATCCTTCTTCTTCCTTTTTATCGGAAGAAAAAGAGGATTCGAACAAAATCGATGAAACGGAAGAAATCTGAGTGAATGGAAAGGAAAAAACAAAGGATGAATTCCACTTTCACTTTACAGAGACAGACTATAACAATATCCCATTTTATGATTATGAGGATTCTTATCTGAATATGAATAGGAATCAAGAAAATTGGAAATTAAAAGATAAAAAAGCTGCTAAAAGAAAGGAACTCTTCCGCTTTGAAAAAACTCTTGTAACTACTCTTTTCAATTATAACTAATGGAATCAAATCAAATTTAAATAATAAAAAATAGATACATAAGTTAAATAGAAGAAAAGATAAGAAGAGATGTGCCCGCCACCTATATATTTAATAGCTTCTCCTATAAAGAAATTAATAACACCAACACCATTCGTAATTCCATCAATTATCCTTCGATCAAAAAAATGAGTTAATTTAGCCAATCCTCTTATTCCTCCAGTGAAGGATCTTGTATAAAAAGAATCTATGTAAGCACGATTATACGACCAATTATATATGCCATTTATAATTTTGTCCCAAAGAATTCTCTTAGGACCTCTTTTAAGAATTGAATTAATTAAATCAAAATTTTGTAAAGAGCAATAGGGGGGTTTATATAAAAAGGATGCTATAAATATTCCTAAATAAGATATACTAACTGAAGATACTATATCTTTCAAAAATTCGTACCAATCCATCGAATTACTCAACCTTTAGTGCAAAAGATTTATAAATGGAGTTAACCATTTAGATAATATATGTAAATCTACTCCTTCTTGATTGAAAGGAATTCCTATAGATCCAACGAACAAAGTAAATAGACCCAATATAAGTAAAGGGAATAACATAGTATTGTCTGGTTCATAAGGATAGGAATAAAACTTTTAATTCTCAAAATGAGTAATAGTAATAAAGAGATGTGTCACATTTCGAACATGCTACAACCCCAGGTCGCGAAGAGCCGACATCGAGGTGCCAAACCTTCCCGTCGATGTGAGCTCTTAGGGAAGATCAGCCTGTTTTCCCTAGAGTAACTTTTATCTGTTGAGCGACGGCCCTTCCACTCGGCACCGTTGGATCACTAAGGCTGACTTTCGTCCCTGCTCGACGGGTGGGTCTTGCAGTCAAACTCCCTTCTGCCTTTGCACTCTAGGGCCAATCTCCGTTTGACCCGAGAAAACCTTTGCATGCCTCCGTTACCTTTTGGGAGACCTATGCCCCATAGAAACTGCCTACCTGAGACTATCCCTTGGCCCGTAGGTCCTGACACAAGATTAGAATTCTAGCTCTTCCAGAATGGTATCTCACTGATGGCTCGGGCCCCTCCCGGAAGGAGGCCTTCTTTGCCATCCACCTAAGCTGCGCAGGAAAGGCCCAAAGCCAATCCCAGGGAACAATGAAGCTTCATAGGATCTTTCTGTCCAGGTACAGGTAGTCTGTATCTTCACAGATATGTCTATTTCACAGAGCCTCTCTCTGAGACAGTGCCCAGATCGTTACTGTGACGACTTGAAAATTCACCTCTATTTTTTTTATAATTTCCTCTTATTTTGAATAAGTTAATTTATAATTTCTTTATTACTAATTTACTCTCTTAATAGTGGTAATAAATAATAGAATCGAGAGTTTTACTTTGACTTTTATAGATAGAGCAAATTAAGGTTTTTGTGCACTTTGGTCGTGTGATCACTTGGTGAGGTATGTATACTAAATTTGGTGGATAAGAGTGAGTATTAGATAAGAAGAAGTGTGTGATTAGAAATGCTATTAATAAGTTAAAACATAAGTACAAGAGAATTAAGAAAAATAGGCTTGAACTGACACAACTTGACCAATACTTTCTTACCCTAATATTCTTGTTTTTATTTCACCTAATCCTCCCTAAATTAACCCTTAAGTCAGCCACCATTATTGACTAAGGAAAAGGAAAGAAAAGAAAAAAAATAGAGAAAACTTGGCTTTGACAAGTGTCAAAGATCCAAAAGTTGTTGACCAAGACCATTCCTTTCTCCTTATCTTTCTTCTTGGCTAAATTTTCTTCATTTCTAGCTTGTGTTGGCCAAAATTTTGGGAGAGAAAAACAAGAGAGGAGAAACCTTCCATTTCCACCTTGATCTTGCTTGTTTGAGTTGAAATCTCAAAACTAAACCGATTAAACTTATCTTTTGGTACTTAGGAAGTTAAAGAAAGTGAAAGTCTTGGGAGAAAGAGCTTGGTTCTTCACTTAGCAACAAGTATTGAAAGGTATAAGATGATTCACTCCCTTTCTCTTGCTTAATGTTGCTAAGTTTAGTATAGAAGCTTTTAATCTTGACTTGCTATGATTGATTGTTTAGTTTTTGATGGTGAAGTGACATGTTTAGCTAGGGTTTGCATTTTTTCAGCTTTGATTATTGTTTTTTACCTAGTAAATGATGTTGTTGAGTTAGGATATGGATTTGTTGAAGTGATTAATGGTTTGGTTGTGACTTTTTAGAGTAAAAGTTGAATTTTCAGCATTTGTAGTGATTCTGCCCTGTTTTTGAAACCAACTTGAACTGCATATTCGTCCATGATAAAGGCCAAATCAGTTCTTGCTCAAAACATAACAGTTGTAAGGATTTGAGTTAGCTTTCTACCCAAAAAATTTCAATGCAATCAGAGCACTGTAACTCATGAAATGACTAAAATACCCCTGACTATCCAAATGCTCAATTTAACTGACAGTTTTCTGTTTTCTCTGAGATTTTAATTTTTGACCCTGAAAATGCGAGAACTAGGTATCAATGTTTTCATAGGAAATGTAGGTCTATGTCTTAGTTTCGAAACTTCATACAATTTACCTCGATCCGATATACCTAACTACAGTTATGACCAAAACACCGAAGGATAACCAATCTGCCACCTATAATTTCTTCTCTAAATTAGTTTCCAGCTTTGATATCCATGGTGATAAGTTATTATTTGGCCTCTTTGGTTAGTTTTGAGGCCTTGACTAGATGTATGTTGTTGGTTATCACTTGTGATTGAATTGGAGGTTTGTTGACTTGTGAATCCAAGTTGTACTTGGATGGAAAAAGTAAGAAAATAGCGGAAATGCTGCCCAAATTTCTATTACTTGCTCTAATGAATATTAGTGAGATATAAGATTTGATTTTGGGTAAGTTGGATCTTAAGTTACATATGTATCCGTGAATGCACTTCACTAGTAGTATATGAGTTATTTTTAACCAAGATTTGGTATCAACTAAGATGAAAAATGTTAGTTTTATTTCAAAAATTTTGAATTACATTTGCTCTCTTCAATTTGGGATTGGTTGTTCTTTCAACTACTGATTTCTTGAATTTTCTTCCGTTATGTTTGAATTTGAGAATGACTAAAGATTTTCCATGATTTGCAAGTTCAAATGTTATTATTTACTCTAAAATTGTATTTTCATATTTGCACTAGTAATTTCTAGATTTTTTATGGTTCATCTAGATTTTGATTAGTTGAACCATAATACCTTCCTTTGACTGATCTAGGTTTCTTTGGTAATCCGGAGTACAACCCAAAAGGAAACTTTTGACATATCTCTTGCTCATATTGGTGAGTGTTCCTTGCATGTGTGTGCTTTAAATGACTATGTGAAATGTTGTCTGTTTGTTAAATGCTTTTCGATATTGCTAAATGGATTTTCAATGGGCGAGTGTGTACTTTATCGCATTCGACCCAAGCAAAAGTGCATTTTCAATGATTGAATGCTTCTTGTGCATGATGTAAGCCCTTTTGGCTGAATTGGAGCCTTGCCCTTCGTTGCTAGTTGACTCGAGCTAGAAGTGGACTCGGTTGGGCGGCTGGTGACCTTGGAACAGTGTTTTGGTATACTCGAATATGACCACGAAGATTGGTGGAGAACTGGCCAGTGAATTGGCTAGTGGCGAGAAATGAAATTAATGAATAAATGTCAAGAACACTGAAAGAGTTTTCATTTGCAAATAAAAACGTTTTCTAATATTGGAAGGATAAGGAAAATGGTTGGCGAATGAATGGCTCCAAGGGAGCACGTATCCTTTTACTTGAAAATATTGGATATCTATGTGAAGTGTTTTGCTCAATTATTTGAACTCTTATACTCGCTACTTGAATATTCCAAGTTTTTACATATGAACAACTTGCTACTTGAGTCTGCATGAAGTTTTGGAACCTCACTGGACTTTTAACTCATTCCTTTAGTTTTGTTTTCCTTACAGGGGGTACGAACATAGGCGTGAAGTTAGAAAGGCTAGTTTTGTCTAGATTTTTAACGTTTGTAATTCTACTAGCGCTAGTGCTCGATTAGGGTTAAAAGTACAACTAGAATTTGAAACTCTTGTTATATTTGGATATGTATGAATGGTTGAGATAGAAATGAATGTACATGTACATTCCAAATTTGGGAACTGTTATTTCATTTACTCTTGAGGTTGAAAACTATTCTATTTGAAATGAGTGAGTGAGTCCTGATGAGAGTTAGGCAAGCGATCCGCTAAACCCTAGGGTACGCCTTAGGGAGAGATGAGGTAGTCACAGTTACGCCTTTCGTGCGGGTCAGAACTTACTCGACAAGGAATTTCGCTACCTTAGAACCGTTATAGTTACGGTCGCCCTTCACCAGTGCTTCGGTCGCCGACTTCCCTGTTATTAGGTCACCAACTTCTTTGACCTTTTGGCACTGGGTAGGCGTCAGCCCTCATATATAGTCTTGCGACTTTGCGAAGACCTGTGTTTTTGGTAAACAGTCGCTCGGGCTTGGTCACTGCGACACCCTTTGTGAGGAGGCACCCTTTCTCTCGAAGTTACGGGGTTATTTTGCCGAATTCCTTAAAGAGAGTTGTCTTGCGCCCCTAGGTATTCTCTACTTACCCACCTGTGTCGGTTTCGGGTACAGGTACCTTTTTGTTTACAGTCTTTTGAACTTTTGCTGGGAGTATGGCATGGGTTACTTTAGCGCCGTAGCGTCTGGTACTCGAACATTGGATTGAGACATTTTCTCTACCCTTTCTTACACTGAAAAAAAGGGGCACCTTACGTTTTTGAACCGATAACCATCTTTCGATTAATCTAGCTTCTTCCGTCCCTCGAGACTGATAAACGGTAGTACAGGAATATTCACCTGTTGTCCATCGACTACGCCTTTCGGCCTGATCTTAGGCCCTGACTCACCCCCCATGGACGAACCTTACGAAGGAATCCTTAGGTTTTCAGGGCATTGGATTTTCACCAATGTTTGCGTTACTCAAGTCGACATTCTCACTTC